TCTTATCCAGCAAATCCGTTGCTGATCCGGCCTGGCTACCGGCGTAGAGATAATGAAGCATGTTTGAATTCAAGTATGGCCCCCTTATCCGATGAATCCGTCATCATCCGGCCTCTATACCGGCGTAGAGATAAAAAAGCCTGATATTTCTCATACACTTAATCAAACTTCACATTAAATATTGGATTTCGATCCAGATCAGGTAATTAGAAACTTTTGGACTTGCACACACATTAACCTGACTTTTGGCCCGGAAACGCCATGTTTCTCCTATCGTGGCCAAAAGTCGAATCCTTCTTGAACATTATAGGACATAATGAACCTTCTTGAAGGTTCCAGAACATTCTGACCAGATCGAGAAACTCGTGAAATATTCTGAACATTCTGAAACATTTTAGAACATTCTGAAAGGTTCAAGAACAGTCTATAGAACCTTGAAAAATGAACTGAAACATTTTCTAACATTCTGACCAGGTCCAGAAACTCATGGAACATTCTGAACTTCCTAAAATATAGTCTACCTACGTTCGCACGGCCCCACAAGTTTGAATCTCCACCATCAGGTAGCGGTGTGGCGCTCTGGTCCGTGATCTAAGCATTTCATTAATTCCTCGTGATAAACCGTAAAAAGGGAAGCCTACAACTAGTTCAACAACACAATATCACTGGTCTGTGATTATTTTATATACATTATCATTGAAATGATTTTCCTTTACCTAGAAGTTGAAACGTATCAGAACGAATAAAACCTAGACGATATCGTTTTTAGTATTCACAAAACATTGTGTTCGACTGACGGTGTGTACAACAAAAAACACATAAATGACATTTGGAAACGAAAAGCAATAACATTTCCCCAATGACAAATATTAAAAACAAATCATCCTATTTATAGTTTACTTTATTCCTTACAAAGAGGAACACATTGAGTTCATTTCTTGGCAGTTTATCAAGACACAATGAACAATGATATGATAAGACTCCAAACCATATTGCCTATTCCTATTTAATATCACAAAAATGAACATTTTTCGAAGTAGGAATATAGAGCAGTACCTATCTTTTCGGCAGCTACCATCTTTTCATCTAAAGGTGGCAAAACTGATGAGTATTCCTATAAGAGAAGGGTACCTCGATCCATTTTCTGAATTATAATTGACGAAATTATAATAGAAGATGTCCGACGCATGTGTGATAGCGTCAAAAGGTAATGCACTGCCTTCAATTTGTTCAGTGAAAGAAACGAAAGAAATACGGAATATTGATGATTTATTCGAGAATTTCTGGTAAAACAACCTTCTAAAGAGTGTACGTCATCAGTTTCACGAACCTTGTATTTCATCGAGCATAAGCGCCGTCTATTATTCTTTGAGTAAATTAATTTGAATGACAATTTGTGGAAACACATGATATTGTTGAATTATCTGAAATATGATTTGCGGCAGCAACGTCAGCATAGTCAGGGAGATTTCTCCAATGAAAATTAAAATAAATGATTGAAACAGTCTTTTAAAAATTGCTCGAAGGTAACGAGGCCTAATATGAGAATTGTTTTCTGACAGTGACGTGAGAATTGGAATGCTTTACCAATATCGTTTTCGATAATAAATAAAAACAAGCGTTGAACATCAGTGGTGGAATAATTTATGAAGGAAATATCTAGTTGCAATGAATTTTGAAAATGGTTGAAACAATAAAGATGAATTTGTTATTTTAAACACAAAAAAACAGGAAAGGAGTTGATTTCTGTTAGAACTTGTTGTTTTTATCAGAAATCGACTCAAACAGTCAGATATTTGAAAAGGAAACTAGAATATACACTCAGTTTTGAACACTCCTTTTGAACATCAACCAACGTCTCCTGGCAGTAGCTTCTTCCATAGGGTGACTTTATAGAAATTTTTAGCATTCAAGATTCAACATTTAAACACTTAAGACTCAAGAGTTTTGAGACATGTTGAGTGAAAATCAAGATCCTAAGGTGATAAATGTCTTCTGTCATTATTGATATCTAGTTTTTTGTACAGAACTAGATAATCAAAGGATGGTGAGTAAGAAACTGGGGTTAGGAATCATAATTAATATTATTCTATTGATTTATACCCCTAAAATCTATGTGTTGCCTAACAGAAATTGGCTCACCCTTTGGATCTTTTGCCAAATAAGGATGCAGCAGTTCAACCAAATCATTGAATAGCTCAGTAGAGGGGCTATGTCTGTTCTGGGGCAAGCCAATCAGAGGCCAGCATTTGGTTGGAGGCCACGCCCACTAAAAACCGGAGCGAAATTCAAATTATTCATACGCCGTCACGTCGCCATCGTGAATAAATAAATTAATAAAAGCTGTCAGCGCAGGGGGAATTGAACCAGGGACCTTTGCATTATGAGGCAGCGTATATACGCACTGTGGTATTCCGACCTCCGTAAGTTTCTTATCTCTGGAACGCATCTCTCGCTTTGCTCTACCTCTACAGATCCGTTTCAAAGATAAGCGCGCGCCAGCGATGGATATTATTTTCGACTCGAAGTTTCTTATCTCTGGAACGGATCTCTCGCTTTGCTTGTCTCGATAGATACATTTCAAAGATAAGCGCGCGCCAGCGATGGATATCCCGTTTGAATAGCATTAAAACAATTGAAATATTACGGAGGTCGGAATACCACAGTGCGTATATACGCTGCCTCATAATGCAAAGGTCCCTGGTTCAATTCCCCAGCGCTGACAGCTTTTATTAATTTATTTATTCACGATGGCGACGTGACGACGTATGAATAATTTGAATTTCGCGCCGGTTTTTAGTGGGCGTGGCCTCCAACCAAATGCTGGCCTCTGATTGGCTTGCCCCAGAACAGACATAGCCCCTCTACTTAGCTCAGGTGACATTCTAGTGTATTTGAAGAACTGTTAAGTATCCATATTTTCCATCTGTTTCAAAATAGAATCACTTTAAATTTGATGATAATTAGATGACAAAACAAATATTCAGTGATAACCCAAAATACTTTGGATTTCGGGAAATTGAGATGACACTTTATGCATACTCCTTACTCCATTTATGATGATTTATCATCCACTTCTTCAGTTGGAAAGTGGCCATCTTCTCAAATCTTAAATTTAAAGTCATAAGTGTCAAATGATTTTATAACATAATTAATAATATTTTCGTGTTCCATCTGTCCATCTGAATCTTGAGGCAAAGTTTTTTATAGAGTGGCCCTTAGTCTTAATCAAATTGGTGCGCTTGATGACAATTACAAAAATGTTTCGTTTGTAATCATAATAATAATAATCAAAGTTTATTTTTTGAATTATGTTGATTGCAAAATCTGGCAGGCATGAAGTTGCAATTGGAATATTTATGGTGCCATTTCTTGAGTTGCAAGATTGATATTACAATAGCTGGCCTATTAAGCTAATTGGAAAAAGTGACTGTTGCAATCAGAGCTTAATTGCAAGATAAATATTGCAATCCCCTTGACTTCATGATGGTTCATCAGGATTGAATTTGTAATTACATCAATTGCAAGATTCCTATGATTAATCATTCAATTAGGTTCATTGCAAGATTGATCTGTTGAGCTAATTGCAACATTGTGAAATTGCCCTAGTTGCAAAATTAATTTTGCATTAATCATTCAATCAAAATATTTGCAATATTCATATTGCAATTAGTTGAATTGCATGATTATTCCAATGATTTCAAGATTATTAATCCAATTAGGATAATTGCAACCAGCGTTTAATTGCGAGATAAATATTGCAATTAAAGTAGAAGCTTTCAATGAGACGAGTAGCATCTTGTAATTACACCAATTTGCAAGAAAATTATGTTTATTATTTCAATTAGGTTCATTGCAAGATTGATCGGATGAGCATTCCCTAGTTGTAAAACTAATCGTGCAATAATGTTTCACTCAGAGTATATTATGCAATACTCGTTTTGCAATTTCTTGGTTTGTCTGATTATTCCGGTTATCTCAAAATTATTCTCCTAATTAGGCTAATTGCATGATTATTCAGCCAAACAAGCTAATTGCAAATAGAGCTTACAGGATTAACCTTACACTAAGGCTGATTGCAACATCTTACCATGAAGATCTAATTGCATGATTATTCCTGCAATTAAACTGATTTCAAAATTTGCAAAATTATAAGGTCAACTCTGCTAATTGCAACATCAATCTTGCAAATAGAGACTAATTGGCAGATAGATCTTGTAATAAGACTGATTGAAATATCTCTCCATTAGACTAGTTGCAAGATTTTTTTATCAATAATTGAGCTAATTGCAACATTAACCTAGCAAATAGGCTTATTGCAAGATATATTTTGAAATATAAGTCTGACAACTGAATGCTGCAAGTATCCTAATTGCAAGAATCATCTGTCAATTCAACTCTGATTGCAAGTATTATAATTTCAAACACATAAAACATATTTTTTAGCATTTCCTTCGGCACCTTCGTAGAATTTCAATATTCCAAGTAATATACATAATTAATATAAATAAATGATATAGATAACTTTCAGGATTGACATATAAATAAGCTGGCAACAACAATTGGAGTTGATCGTCTCAGAGTTGGTCCAAAATTACCTCACATATGGATTATCGATGAAAACAACTATTACATTTGGACTAAATTTCGTGAGGTTTCATTCTACAGTTTGTACAAATGGAATGGATCCCCACCCAGAAGATTTTCTTCCAACTATCGTTGCCAAGCTCGACTCGGTGCAAAAATCGTTCACTTGAGATCAGCTGATTTATTGCACTCAATGACTACATTTTTGTACTGTTCAAGAATAAGAGCAACAATCGCGAGAAACGTCCTTTCCTTACAACCTAACTCCATTCCACTCGGAAGAAGAATCAAATTCCAATAGAATATCAAAAAAAAAATGAGCGAACCGATACGGAAAATTACATTCGTCACAAATATAACAATAAAATTCGCTTACCGAATAAATTAAAACAAATCTAAAACGACGCCGGCCGTCAATTACCTTCGACGTCCTTTTTGAAGGCGCCCTCGATCGAGCCGGGGCCCTGATTCGACGATTCGTCGTACCCGGAATCGGAACTGCTGTCGCTGTACACCTTCGAGGCGGCGATGTCGTCGATCTTCTCCGGCTGCGACTTGCAGATAGCCGCGCGGCTCCCGCCGCACGGCTTGATGAAGCGCGGATCGATCATGATTTCGTCGTAGAGGCCTTTGAAGACCGTTCCGCAACAGACGGTTTCCCTTCGAGAGGGGAAAATGGAAATTATTCATCAAGATAATATAGGCACCCTCGACGATACTATCAAACGATTGTACAAAAAATGTTATTTGTAGACTTCAATTGTCATTTGTCGTTATTTTCCATTTCAATTTGTGTTTGCTAGTTTGTTAATAAAATTTGTAATTGTGTGCATTTTTTATGTTCTGGTCCCCACGAAAAGGGATATCCTGTGATGTTAATTGTGCAATAGCTACTTGTTATTTCATAGGTAGATTGTTGACGTGAATTGTAAATTGTTAATGCAAATTGTAAATTGCAAATGTGAAATGTAAATGTGAAATGTAAATGTGAAATGTAAATGTGAAATGTAAATGTGAAATGTAAATGTGAAATGTAAATGTGAAATGTAAATGTGAAATGTAAATGTGAAATGTAAATGTGAAATGTAAATGTGAAATGTAAATGTGAAATGTAAATGTGAAATGTAAATGTGAAATGTAAATGTGAAATGTAAATGTGGAATGTAAATGTGAAATGTAAATGTGAAATGTAAATGTGAAATGTAAATGTGAAATGTAAATGTGAAATGTAAATGTGAAATGTAAATGTAAAATGTAAATGTAAAATGTAAATGTAAATGTAAATGTAAATGTAAATGTAAATGTAAATGTAAATGTAAATGTAAATGTAAATGTAAATGTAAATGTAAATGTAAATGTAAATGTAAATGTAAATGTAAATGTAAATGTAAATGTAAATGTAAATGTAAATGTAAATGTAAATGTAAGTGTAAATGTAAGTGTAAATGTAAAATGTAAATGTAAATGTAAATGTAAATGTAAATGTAAATGTAAATGTAAATGTAAATGTAAATGTAAATGTAAATGTAAATTGTAAATGTAAATTGTAAATGTAAATTGTAAATGTAAATTGTAAATGTAAATTGTAAATGTAAATTGTAAATGTAAATTGTAAATTGTAAATGTAAATGTAAATGTAAATGTAAATGTAAATTGTAAATGTAAATTGTAAATGTAAATTGTAAATGTAAATTGTAAATGTAAATTGTAAATGTAAATTGTAAATGTAAATTGTAAATGTAAATTGTAAATGTAAATTGTAAATGTAAATTGTAAATGTAAATTGTAAATGTAAATTGTAAATGTAAATTGTAAATGTAAATGTAAATTGTAAATGTAAATTGTAAATGTAAACTGTAAATGTAAATTGTAAATGTAAACTGTAAATGTAAACTGTAAATGTAAATGTAAATGTAAATTGTAAATGTAAATTGTAAATGTAAATTGTAAATGTAAATTGTAAATGTAAATTGTAAATGTAAATGTAAATTGTAAATGTAAATTGTAAATGTAAATTGTAAATGTAAATTGTAAATGTAAATTGTAAATGTAAATTGTAAATGTAAATTGTAAATGTAAATGTAAATGTAAATTGTAAATGTAAATGTAAATGTAAATGTAAATTGTAAATGTAAATTGTAAATGTAAATTGTAAATGTAAATTGTAAATGTAAATTGTAAATGTAAATTGTAAATTGTAAATGTAAATTGTAAATGTAAATTGTAAATGTAAATTGTAAATGTAAATTGTGAATGTAAATTGTAAATGTAAATGTAAATTGTAAATGTAAATTGTAAATGTAAACTGTAAATGTAAATTGTAAATGTAACCTGTAAATGTAAACTGTAAATGTAAATGTAAATTGTAAATGTAAATTGTAAATGTAAATTGTAAATGTAAATGTAAATTGTAAATGTAAATTGTAAATGTAAATTGTAAATGTAAATTGTAAATGTAAATTGTAAATGTAAATTGTAAATGTAAATTGTAAATGTAAATTGTAAATGTAAATTGTAAATGTAAATTGTAAATGTAAATTGTAAATGTAAATTGTAAATGTAAATTGTAAATTGTAAATGTAAATTGTAAATGTAAATTGTAAATGTAAATTGTAAATGTAAATTGTAAATGTAAATTGTAAATGTAAATTGTAAATGTAAATTGTAAATGTAAATTGTAAATGTAAATTGTAAATGTAAATTGTAAATGTAAATTGTAAATGTAAATTGTAAATGTAAATTGTAAATGTAAATTGTAAATGTAAATTGTAAATGTAAATTGTAAATGTAAATTGTAAATGTAAATTGTAAATGTAAATTGTAAATGTAAATTGTAAATGTAAATTGTAAATGTAAATTGTAAATGTAAATTGTAAATGTAAATTGTAAATGTAAATTGTAAATGTAAATTGTAAATGTAAATTGTAAATGTAAATTGTAAATGTAAATTGTAAATGTAAATTGTAAATGTAAATTGTAAATGTAAATTGTAAATGTAAATTGTAAATGTAAATTGTAAATGTAAATTGTAAATGTAAATTGTAAATGTAAATTGTAAATGTAAATTGTAAATGTAAATTGTAAATGTAAATTGTAAATGTAAATTGTAAATGTAAATTGTAAATGTAAATTGTAAATGTAAATTGTAAATGTAAATTGTAAATTGTAAATGTAAATTGTAAATGTAAATTGTAAATGTAAATTGTAAATGTAAATTGTAAATGTAAATTGTAAATGTAAATTGTAAATGTAAATTGTAAATGTAAATTGTAAATGTAAATTGTAAATGTAAATTGTAAATGTAAATTGTAAATGTAAATTGTAAATGTAAATTGTAAATGTAAATTGTAAATGTAAATTGTAAATGTAAATTGTAAATGTAAATTGTAAATGTAAATTGTAAATGTAAATTGTAAATTTAAATTGTAAATGTAAATTGTAAATGTAAATTGTAAATGGTTAAGGTAAATTGTAAATGGAAATTGTAAATGGAAATTGTAAATGTAAATTGTAAATGTGAATTAAGAAGTAAATTGTAAATGTAAATTAAAAAGTAAAATCACCTCTTCCAATAGTGCAGATCGACGAAATCGCTCACCCGCGCGATGTCGTCCCGATGCCTCGCCAACGCCTTGTATCTCCGGCTCTTCGACTCGCCCGCCCCAGCAGACCCGTCGTCCGGATCGCTGGCCGCCCCTGCCGGACTGCCCGCCCGACTCGACCGCCCCTCCCCTTCCCGATGCCGCCGCTCCTCCTCCGCGGCGGCCATCATCAGGTCGAGGTCGATCATGTCGTCGTTGCCCTCGGCGTTGCCGTCGCTCTTGTCCGAGGGCGAGGGGCTGCCGTCGCGTCCCTCCTCGCGCTCTCGCTCTCCCTCTTTCGACGTGGAGGACGATTTGAATTTTTCCTCGAGCAATTTGCGGTTCTTCGCCTTGAATTTGGTCATTGATTTGATGCCGGGACCGGCTCGAGCGTCGACCACCTGCAAACGAACAAATCGTTTCTTTCTGTCTTCTGTCTGATTAGAGATTTGACGTTTTCGAAGCGGTAACTTTTATATGCCCGTTAGGCACTTCTGGGATGGGAGCAAACGGGCAAACTCGCGTCACGGTAGCACACGTACCATAAGACCGGCATAATCATTAGTGTATACAGGGGGTCCGGAAATTATGCGCAAAAAATCAAGAGGGTGATTCAACATGATTAAATAAGAAATTCATTTTATATGTACGTGGGTCAGGAAATGCATAGTTTTCAACATACAGTGTGTAAAACTTTTGAAAAAGATTTTTTTATGAATTTATGAATATCTCAAATGTCCTTTCACCGATTTTCTTGAAATTTGGCAATGATATTTTTTGTCACGAGTGACTGATATAGCCATAATTCAATAAGAATTATGAAATCAAGTGGCGTCCCGGGGGGCACCCTACCAAATATTATTGTCAATTAAATGTGCGCCACTGATTTTTTTGAATTCTTTATCTTCATAACCTATTAACTCACTGAAAATACAACATTTTGGTTTCTTGAATTATTTTGATAATTTGCTTTATTTCTATGGAAAAAATTAATTACCAGTTTATTGCATAAATTTGTGCCAAAAAATTCTTTGAAAAACTGGGGTGAAAATGAATGCGTGATCATTGTCCATAGACGAAGAATGAGTATAAAGATTAATTTTTTTCAACTATTTCTTGATAAATGTTTGACACACTCTATACTCTGTATATTGAGAACTATGCATTCTTGGTCCAGGAAGGCGTAGTTTTCGATAATACGAAGTGTGTCAAACATGTATCATAAAATATTTGAAGAAAATGAATCTTCATTCTCATTCTACGTCTATGTAAATGGATCACACACATAATTTCACCCTTGTTTTTGATGCAATGTTTTGCACAAATTCAAACAATGAATTGGTATTCATTTTTTCCACGGAAACTGTGCTCTTGCTTAGGAAGTCAAAATCTACATCATACCAAAAATTCAGGGAATTCAACCGAAAGCCATTTTCTATAAAGAAAGTGCGATGTCCTTTAGTTATGTGATTGGTATGGACGAACGAGAGATCCTTTTTCTTATTTTCTTTCAGCGGACTGACTACTCTTCTTATAAGCGGTTGTCCCCAAATTCCTATTGAATTTATCCTTTCTTTTTCTGCACGATTCTTTACAACTTCTACTCTCATGGTGGCAAAATTCAGTCTGGTTGGTAAGTGACAAAGTCTAAAAATTTCTGAATGATACTTATGGAGGTTATTGATCAACCTCAATGGGTGCCTTGAGAGCACCTTCATGAATGGAATTTTCATTTTATTCTCTTCACAAATTGAGCGAAAAGAAAAGTATAACAAGAGACAAAAAATCCAAGGTCACATGGACTGCGACTGACAAATGGATTGTTTTGCTTCCAAGATTTTCATAACATCCAGTGGATAACTGAAGCATCAAACCTCGTTCATCCATCAGTTTATTATAATAACAAAATCGAAAAATACGTTTTTAGGGCAACTTGCTGAAGTTCTTGAGGCAAGGAAGGTTGCCTCGTGGAATAATAATACTAATATTGTGTTGAAGAAAAGAAAAAATAAACGTTGCTATCTGGGAATGGTGTTATGAAAACAGGACAATTGTTTACAAGCTTCAATTGAAATTCAGATAAGATATCTACTCATAATCAGCACATTCGACATGACTAACTCAAAACATTTCACTTCAAATCCTTACATCAGCGCAGATTAGAAATGCAATAAGCCATACTACTTGGCATGTTCAACCTTCCTCGAAGAATATAAAAATTATGAGAAAAGGTTATGGACTATAAAATTTTAGACTTCAAATAATGTTCATGGTTGTTACAACAGTAGAGTCCCTGTATATACCTTAGACAAGAGTCCGGACACAACTATACTTCTATCCTCTTCTGTATTGGAAAAATGCATTGATGATTGAATAAAGGAATAAGACATATATATCGAGCTCTGTCTTTTCAATTCCCCTAGTATCAATGATTGTCAGAAACAATTTTGAGGGTTAGATTATTTGTCAAACCGTTCATAGCCGTAGGACGAAGGGAGAAATAGGGCTATTTTAACTAGAATAACTATTAGATTTTCAAATAATGAACAACAGGGTGTTCAAATTTCGAATCGATAATTTTCGTAATAAATTCCTGAGATGGCTATTGCAACTTTTCGACATCAGATATTTCTTTCCTTCATTAGATATAAGAAAGATAATTTAAGTGTTCTACGTGGTATCACATATAGCCAAGAAAATATAGTTGTTTTCTGTTGGGATATACAAAAATAGAAGATATATAATTGTTTCAATATAATTTTAATTGTGTCGGTTTCCCACCTCTTCCTGCAGTCTACATTCACCAGTAAATTTTTTAATTTGATCTGAATTAAAAACACCGTGGACTGATGACATAGCACATTGCAATTTCCCCCTAAATCTTCTAGTTTTGATTTCAAACTTTCAATTTCTTTCCGCATCATATCATTCTCATTTTCTTTCTCTGCGATCGTATCATTCAGTAATTCCACAGTTTAAGGAATGGGTATTCCTTAAACTGTGGTAATTCCCAATACGATGACGACGGAACTCTTTTTTTGAAGAGATTGACGGCACAGCAGACTCTTTCAATTTGAAATCCATCAGCTTGAAAGAATCTCTATCAAAATGGGCCTAAAATTCATGTTTTTTGTACTGTTTTTACAAGTGAATTCGAATATTTACCTCACATATTGCGGATTTCTTGAAATTAATTTTCCATTCTGGACGTTTCGCATTGCATTCTTCCATGACATTATCTTTAAAGGACCATTCGGAAAATTGAATAACTCTAATCCCTTTTCTAATGAATTATCGCAATAATGTACGCAGCAGGACATTGAAATAATTTAAAATGCAAAATTTTGGCGGTCATAAAATTTCAAAGTGACAGTGACAGAAATTCGAAGTAATTGAAATAAGTGGGCGAGACGACTATGGTGTTTCGTCACATTGACAGGTGGGCAAACCAAATGAAACAAAATATTAAAAACCCCAACGGCTGTCAGTTTTGTGTCCGGACTCTTGTTTGTCTGAAGTATATACAGGGACTCTAGTTACAACTAGATATGATATTCCTGTAATTTATATTGATTCCCATTAAATACCTTGAATTTTTAGTCAAACATGTAGGGTATATACAGGGTGTCTCTTAAATGATGACTTCAATTTCAGGTGGTGATTCCTTGTCATATTTCGTGACAAAAAGTTCATATAAACGTGTGTCCTAACTTTCTCCGTTTCCGAGTAACGGGGTGTCCAAAGTTTAATGAAATATCGGCTTTTCATGAATTACTCAAAATACTGTTCGCCGATTTTGATTAAAATTCGTGTGTTTGTGATTTCTTATAACGTCATACGCAACACCCGTCGGTCATCTGACAGTTCTTGCACGCAACCCATGTGGTTAGGTAAGGTTAGGAAATATTAAAATTCATTAATTTCATTTGAATCTACAAGCAATAGGAAAAACTCAACTTTATTTAGAAATCCATTGTCATTTACTCCTGAATATGCTGTGAAAGTCGCATACTTACCTTAACTCGCACGAGTATTCGTACAAATCAATGTTTTTCTGTGACGGGAAATGGCATTTCATCTCTGTTGACAGGTTATAAAATGTCACTTTTCATAAATTATTTTTTTCCCGTGGGAAAAAAGTGGGTACTTTTTCCCGGATAATATCACATATATACAGTGTGTCCCACTCACCATGCTCACCATGGGTATCTTTTTAACGGTGAGAGATACGAGGTCGGTTAAATGACACCAAATGTGGAGTTTGTCAAGGCCAACTATAATGTGAAAAAATATTTTGATAAAATCTATTCGTTTTTGTTTTATACGCAAGAAACAGATTTTGATCACTTTCATGTTTCCTCCGTAACTTCTTTATTTATGAATGTTTACGAATGAGTACTTGGTATGGTTTACCGCCAGCAATGGAAAGACTAATCGAGCTCACCTGGAATCTGTCTGACGACCGGCATCAACAAATCCTCCAGCAAGGGCTCTGTCCAAAGGGCTGCTTCACCACCAGTACTAAGGGGGGTTGAGTTGAGTGGACTGTATTTTGGGGGGAAATTTCACACTATCGCGTATAGCCTTAGCGTTTTGTTTGGGCGCGAGATTTTCGTTTTTTTTTCAAATCGAGTCCGTTCTCTCGCCCTACCTACCGTATGAGTTTCTACCGTATTCCCCCGTTTTCTCGATGGCGTCGATTGCTTCCAAAGCTGGACGGATATACATTCGAAGTCAAAAGTTCGGGTCCGGATTATATTGGATATTATTGAGTGAATTTGTCTTCATAGGTTTAGAGAATCTTATTGTACGAATTATTATGTCTAGGTATATTTATACTAAAAAACTAAACTAAACGAAAATATTTTGGGGTTTAAACAATGAAAATATTCAGATAGGAATTTCACATTGTCATGGCAGTTTTTCAAAGTGATTTCGAAAAAAATATGAAATTTATACCACTTAGTTACAAATAACTTTTTTTTCTCTAACAGATGATATGTCGCAGTAATAGTTTTGTGTTTATAAAAACGGAGTTGTCGTCATTTATACAAAAACTTGAAATTTGGCAGATGTTCGTAGATCCGGTGACAATACATTATGGAATATTTGTTGAAATTAAAAATAAATGGCTGCTCCCAGATGGCAGACAAGATTTGGTCCGATTCCATTCAAAATTGGTAAGTGGGGGTTTTTGAGGTCGAAGATCATGATTTTTTTGTTAAAATTTATGAATTCAAGATGGCGGCTTCCAAATAATTTTTTGTTTTTGTATAAGTGACGATAACTCCGTTGTTATCAACACAAAACTATTACTGCGACATATCATCTGTAAGAGAAAGAAAAAGTTATTTGTAACTAAGTCATAGTGAGCTACAACCTACATATGAAAAACTAAAGTTGGTGCTGATATCTGAAATTCTAGAAGAGTTGGTATGAATTTCATATTTTTTTCGAAATCACTTTGAAAAACTGCCATGAGAATGTGAAATTCCTATCTGAATATCTTCATAAATAAAGAAGTTACAGAGGAGACATGAAAATGATCAAAATCTGTTTTTTGCGTATAAAACAAAAACGAATAGATTTTATCAAAATATTTTTTCACATTATAGTTGGCCTTGACAAACTCCACATTTGGTGTCATTTAACCGACCTCGTATCTCTCACCGTTAAAAAGATACCCATGGTGAGCATGGTAAGTGGGACACACTGTATACACTGTTGATGGCTTTTGTTGTGCTGTAGTTCCGAAAAATGAGTCAATAATACCGTCTCCGAGAAGTCCTTTCATCTTCCATTCGACTTCGCGGTTGTGTAAATTACTAAACAACCACTAAATTCGCAATTTTTTGCAATCAAATCACAGAATTAGACTGACAGAAGTGACATCAGATATTTGATTACTTCAAAATAATGATAGAGATGCCTACAACGCAGGTGTCCCTCCTGTTAAAAACTTTAAATTTCACGTTGATAATTTTCAGATTTCGAAATAATGTGATACCTCCTCAAGTTTGATTCGTCCTTTCTTTTGTCACAGAAAAAAACAGTGTATTATACACGGGAAAAAATATAAGATTTTAGCTGACGGTTTTCTGTCTCCCTTCCGCTACGCGTCGGGAGACAACACAACCTGGAGCTAAAATCTACTACTTTTTTACCTTGTATAATAAATAACTATAATAAATAAGAATAGTAGATTGTTTTATTAGGATCAAAAGTGACACTTTGTTTGACAAGCGAATTTTGCATTTGCGAGGCAGAGCGTTTAGCGAAGCAGAGCGAAAGCAAAATTTGCGAGTTGAACAAAGTCACTTTTGATCCGAATGAAACATGCAATTTTTTTCTGCAACCGAAACAATTAACTCAAATAAACATGTGAAGTAACCACCAATGCCGTGCCATATGTATGCAATGCAACAAATATTGACAAATAATCCGTGTGGTGAGAATATTATGCATTAACAGCAGGTTAGGTTTTCAAGGATGTTCGAATTGTAGTTTCAATATAAATACCTACAACCACAGAGTGACATATTTGTGTATGGACCAGGTGCTCTAATGGCAAATACCGCGCCAGTGCCAGCTATAGGAACAAGACGTGGAAAATGTTAAGTTAGTGAGCATATCAACAATGATAATAGTGATAATTTATTCCTCTCCATACTACACTGTATTTGACTTGATAATCAAATGAAGCTGAACAATATCGTTGTTTGAGACAAAAAAACTATTGCTTGCCGTGATTATTCAAAAACAAGTTATCCATCCTGAGAATAACGAATGAAATACAGATCAAGCAAGTATTTGAATCTTGAATGCTTCCCTGATCAAAACAAAAATACTTAACTAAGAAGTTTATAATTCCAATACTAAACTATAGTAAGGTGTATTTATATCTCCAGCATGGGTATGAAATGCCAAATCTGCTGAAATCGGAAACAAATCAGGTATGCGTCTCAACTCAAATAACCAGCCGTCACAATGTTGTTTATTCTTGATGACGTCCAGTATATTCTTTTTAGTTCCTAGGAGCTAAAGTTCAACTTCAGCTCCTAGGAACTAAAATTCAACTTTAGCTCCTAGGAACTGAATATGTTGCCTAGCAACATACCTATTTTTGTGTCAGTAATAGAAACGTCAATTTAAGAGCTAATTTTAGTATCAAAATGGACGACTTTTCTGTCGGTTGCAGAAAATAGACATTGACTTACATGTTGCCAATTTCTATCTGAGCCGAGTGGCAGTTTCTTCCACCGCTTCACCAATAAAACGCAAGCATTGCATATTTCTCCTTGTCGACGCGTCGACAATTTGAAACATTCCAAAAAATCTTCCTCGTACTTTTTGCTATCGGTGAACCTGGAACTGAGACACTATATTTGCAATATCACTCTCCACAATTCCAATGATATGAGATAAACTGCGAACAATTTTTCGATCAATTTTGATTCATTTCAATAGGCGAAAGGACTAGTTTTTGTTATTCCTCAAAGAGAATCATCACTCAAATACCTTTCGATTCTATATTCTTTTAGAATTTTTCGGTCGATTTTTAGGTGGTGAAATTATCAATATTGCCACGGTAATTTTCCAAACGGATAGAAATTTACCGCGAGTAGAAACTGATGTCACGATTTCGTAATATACAGTGATGGGCAAAAGTGTGGAACCAAGTGAATATCTCGGTAACTGTTTGTTAGATTTTCTTTGAATTTTTGTACAGGGTGATTTCAAAACACGGCGGATTCGAAAATGTTATTGCCAATGTTGCCACGTTTCCAGATTTTCTGAAATTCTTGCCAACTTTACTATTTCAAATGGTACACCCTATATATTTTTATAAAATTTTAAAGAAAATATTTCAGCAAATTTATTGATGTATAATTTATTATTTTTATTTTCAATAACAACAGAGATATCTCAAAAAATATTGAGGGACGATCGCACAGTAGTCAAAGTGTGTGATCTTCGTCTTATATGTGTGCCAATTCGATCCCAGCCGGCGCTGGATTTCGCTAAAGTCATGTCATGTAGCAGTGACAGTAGTTGTCACAATACTATAGTAGGTATTTTTTCAATGTGAATGCAAAATGCCTGAATTAAATGCAAGTGAAAGAATAGAAATACTAATGATGATTGGGTTTGGGGACAGGAGAAGAACGCATCAAGAAGTTTGTGATCTTTTCAATGATATTCATCCAAATCGACGAATATCACGTTCGCAAATAACAAAAACTTTCTAACTAATATGTATGGAATCAGCCGTCGTTCAGTAGGAAGAATATTGAAACGACAAAAATATCATCCATACAAAATTCGCCTTGTTCAAGAACTCTACGACGATGATTTTGACAGACGGTTACAGTTTTGTGAAACAATGATGAATATTTGCAACAATGATGATAACTTCGTAAAAAATGTGGTGTTTTCAGACGAGGCTACATTTTGTTCGAATGGTACAGTTAATAGACCAAATTGCCGTAACTGGTCGCAAACTAATCCTCACTGGGTACAAGACGCGCATACGCAACACCCTCGAAAACTGAACGTTTGGGCCGGTATTTACAATAACAGGATTGTGGGACCTTTCTTTATAGAAGACACTTCAAATGCAGACAGATACTTGAATCTGTTGAATACGCAAGTGATCCCGGCGCTGGAAGAAAATAAACAACTACCAAATAATATCAGCAAGACGGGGCACCTCCCTATTACGCTGGCATTGTTCGAGATCTCTGAGACAGGACATTTCGTAATAGATGGATTGGAAGAAGAGGTAAGATTGAATGGCCTGCGCGATCCTCCGATTTAACCCCGTTAGACTATTTCCTATGGGGTTATTTGAAATCCAAAGTTTATTTTAACCAACCAAACAGCTTGGCAGAATTAGCTGAAAGAATAACCGAAGAGATTCAAAGAATTCAACCAGGAGTTATTACTAATGTTACAAGGGAATTTACAAACAGACTAGCCTACTGTCAAGAAGTAAACGGCGCTCAGTTTGAACATTTGATAAAATGAGTTCATTTTCACTCGATGCTTCTCTTTTTTTATTTTACTAATTTGTATTGATTTAATTCTGGTTACTATGTGGTTGGTACGATTTTGTTATTATCTAGGTTTGCTTTGGAATAAAAAATATCGTACTCCATATTTTCAAATTTGTCAAATGTCGGTAGTGAGAATTTTTAATAAGGAGAATACATCAGCTTCAGTTAGTTTCGATCATTTGGTTACTTCCTTAGTTATTTTTTGAGATATCTCTGTTGTTATTGAACATAAAAATAATAAATTATACATCAATAAATTTGCTGAAATATTTTCTTCAAAATTTTATAAAAATATATAGGGTGTGCCATTTGAAATAGTAAAGTTGGCAAGAATTTCAGAAAATCTGGAAACGTGGCAACATTGGCAATAACATTTTCGAATTCGCCGTGTTTTGAAATCACCCTGTACAAAAATTAGAAAAAATCTAACAAACAGTTACCGAGATATTCACTTGGTTCCACACTTTTGCCCATCACTGTATATACAGGGTGACATAGAAAAAAGTACATTGCATAGTGCCACACAATAGAGGATACTAAAATAAGAAAAAAAGTTCCTATGAACAGGGGTCCGCAAGGCCTTCGGTTAAAAGATACAGGGTGTTGAATTCAATTTTTTTTTGTTTTCTTTGAATATATTTAGTCAGAGACGCCAGAAATGGATAAAATGTGGTATAAAGGGGTTTTTTATCATGCTTAATTCAAATATGATCTTAGTTTTGTGGTGACTGATAGAGGGCGCTACATACAGGGTTCCATCCCTATTGAATCGGTCGTAACTTTTTTGCTATACACTGTATGTCATTTTCGACGGAAAAAGATTGTTATCCCTTCTTTTATACTAGGAGCAATGGTTCCAGAACAAATGCATCTGAAAGCCGACAATGCACGCAAATTATTCAAAAAGCGCCAAAGTAACTTTTGCAAAAATAATGATAAATACTTCAACAATGGGGAAGACCACTGAGGGAAGAAATCCGTGCAAACCTCTTTCAATCGACGAATCATGATTTACATTTTATGTGGTGGAGTCGTGACGTATTAGTCCCGAACTGTAGCTATCTCTCTCTGATACCTCGTCATTGTGCAGTGTTGCAGTGTAATTGGTCAGTTCAAGGACAATAGGCGTCGCACCAGTCACACCAATGAATTGATGAAATATCAAATGGCGCAGGAATTATGTGTTTTGTAATGGACATATACTTATTTATTTTTTTCATCGTCTTAGCATGAATGAAAAAATTCAAAATTAATTCACTGGTAGTTTTTCAGTATAGAGTTAACGATAATGTCGTTTTAAAAAATCAGTGGTCTTCCCCATTACATTTTAATGGTATGATGAAAAATATGATTAATTAGAACAAAACATGAAGTTTTTAGATGTTCAAATTGTTGTCCTTGTACTTCAATACATTTTTCCATTAAAATTCAACACCCCGTATCTTTTAACCGAAGGCCTTGCGGACCTATGTTCATAGAAACTTTTTTCCTTATTTCAGTGTCCTCTATTGTGTGGCACTATGCAATGTACTTTTTTCTATGTCACCCTGTATAATACATTTGTGTAAATAGTAATTATATTAATTCACACTAGAGGACATTTGAAGCGGTGAACGTGACAACACCGTACGAAATGTGGGCGTGGTCTTGTCCCTTCCCAGCATTCAGCACAATATTGCCAAGTCTCCAAAATTTACATCAAATTTTGGAGTATGGAGTGTTTCATTACTAATTGGGAATATTTCAACTTTCAACCATAGAATCTCGAACTCAAAATATGAAGATTTAACCCAAATCACCTAGATAAAATATGTCTCCTGTCTGAGTTACAGGGTGTTTTATTCAAAAATTTTGAAATGTTTTTTGCCCAGTTCTTCAAAAATATTTGACGTATCACTTTCATATTCGGAGGGAAGTGTAGGTATTATACATCCAACTGAATTATGTGAAATGAACTTTTCTAGCTATCACCAGAGGCGTACGACAGGGGCAAGTGACTGGTTGATCCTTCCCAAATTCTACGCCACTGGGACAGATGTATCGGACCTCTCTCTATATTTCAATGCGGCCACGTTGGAAGCATTGAAGAGAAAGATGAAAGAGGAGATAACTTTCCTCTCTCTCGATTTAAGTAGAAAAGAGCTCAATTTATTGATCCATGTCATTGAACAAGTCAACAGAACAGAACAGAACAGAAAAGTATTACACAAAATGATTGTGATAATGATAATATGTTCCTAATTAACAGTAATATTGATATTGACAAATAAATCAAATGGAGAATGACATATATAGGCAAAGACATATAAAACTGCAATAAGACTTTATAATAATATATATGAGAATAAAACACACATAGATATCGATGTAAAGTTAAAATTATAAAATTAAAATTAAATATAATTAAAATGTCAATAATTACTTAAATATGATTATTTTTATGAGAGAATGCATAATTAGATGTTTTACTTTCCATTATTATTATTATTATTATTATTATTATTAAAAAGTGATAATGGGCTGAGGTGTGAACCTATAAAAGCCCATTTATACATGACATAGTTGTATGGTACACATGAAGAAAAAAAAAATATATATATGTAAATAGCTACTAGACAAACAATTAGATTAAAAATAAAATTGAAAAAACAATTAAAAATGTTGAATAGAAATTGAAAATTTCGAAATAAAATAAACAGATATAATGCGATGCAAACTGAAAAAAAAAACAATTTACTCAGTAATACGATCTAATCGACTTTTGGCTGTATGTTGTTGATACAAGGTGGAACTCAAAAAACATTCATATCACTGATTTGGAAAAAAATAATATTGAATACTCCTGTTGTTAGGAGCAAGAAAAAAGTTCAAAGTATTTTCATTTGAGGAATTCAATTGAGATGTTTTCTCATTTTGTGATAAATGCTTTAAGAGATAATTCAATGTTGTTATGATTGGCTGTTTTTGGTCATGTGATCTTAAACTGATGACTTTTGTTGGACTTTCATTTAGCAACAAAATGTCTTCTCAATCAACTCTTGTAGACACACTTACCTGCTAGATTTTGCTTTGCAAATACAGCAACCAGTCGATGATCTGTAGACTTTTGGCCTATGAAATGAAAACATTTCTGTTAATCCTACTTGGACCTGAAAATTAAAGTTTCAATCAACAGATAATAATGAAGCTGATATAGCCCAGAAGTGGTTCGGAATCCACTATAAGCTGTAGGCCCTACTCTTCGTAACCCCGTTTCGACTTCATGAGGAGTTGGTTCCCAACTTCAAAGTGGTGATATACCTTTTTTTCACAGGTCTAATCTTTCAGTGAATAATGGCATGTGAGTAACTATAACATCCAAGTTACGCCAAACAAAATTGTTCCATTGAGTTATTAGGAATTCAACTATTTTAGGAGAGCACTGAATTCAAGGGATGGGTGATAGAAATATTTTTTAAAGAGTTAAACGTAAAAAAAACTTACGAAAATCACATCACAATGATAAAGATGGCATCATATTATGGGAAACACTCTTAATAACAAATTGTTTTGAAATTCAACTTTCACGTCAAGTTTTGCATTAAAAAATATAAATCGAAAGTTTTTTTTTTTCAAATTAATCACCGATAATAGGCCATAGGCCATATGTTTTGATTTCAAAAAAAGTTTGCTAGGAATAGTAGTTTCTATTCAAATTCAACAAATGTATCTCGAAGTTGAATGTTTTATCAAAAATATTAGTTATTGATATTTCCAACAAACATTTATTGTGTAAATATTATACATCCAAGAACATAAATATATTACACAAATAATAAAATCTTTTTTTTTTATGTTCTGGTTTCCACGAAAAGGGATATCCTGTAATGTAACAATAACTTGAATATAAAAAAGCCTACTTAGCCCGATGAAAATATTTGTGTTATAACATTCAGTGATCACATAATTACAATTCGCGAAAATCACGAAGTGTGCGGCCTCTGGTGGCTAACTGTACAAGTCTTGCGAGTATGAACAACAAATATGGCGACCATTGTTTTGAATTTCATAAATATGTGTTTTATTTGAAAATAATGTATTTGTTGAAGTGCATATTCCAAAACCTCATTTCTCCCTGATGAAAAAACTCGAATTATTACATGAACTTTTATTGTTTACAATGAAGAAACCAGTACCTACCTTATAATAATATAATATACATTTTCTGAAGCACAATTAGAATCATTGAATAAATGTTGGTTGCAATAATGATTCGATCTTGAGAATAACTTCAAGTCCTCAATTGCTGGAGATCCTTGTTTATGTAAATCGATGATATTGTTCATTCTGAGCAGCCTCTCCAACCATATCTTCTTTCCCAACCCCTTCACTAGAATTCCATCTCCTTCATAAAAGCCAGTGATATTTCTTGATGAATTCAATTATTTCTTCATACCTATACCATATTGTTGTAATAGCTGATTGCTTGTATGGTTCCATTCCAGTCCATGTAAGTGTTGAGTGGACCATTCCGATCGTTCCATATGTTTGAAAACTGTGGGATTGTAGTGTGATATCAATGATGAATACCACCATTGTCCACATCAAAATGGCAATATCTCTGCACAAAAAGTTATTTTTTCCATACTGGAAACCTTGTACGTATTTCAAGGAGTCAACTTATTATTCACTATTTTGCAAAATGATTTGGAAATAACCAATTTGCAATGAGTGCATACGGCAATGTTTTTGTTGTTCATACTCAGTTGGAAATTTGACGTTGATTTGACATAATAATAGAGCCATCTATTGGTTCGTGATTTTCGCGAATAAAAATCATTCATTCAAATTGTTTCAAATTCTAATTTGAACATACGACTAGAATTTTCAGAATTTCCAGCGACATTTTGGGAAAAGTAGAAGAAGAAATTGTTTGTCTGGCTTCTGACAGAATCGCGCATGTGAAAGTCACATTTATATTTTTTTCTGTGACGGGAAAAAAGTTTGGCATTTCATCTCTGTTGGCAGGTTATAAAATGTCACTTTTCATAAATTACTTTTTTTCGTGGGAAAAAAGTGAGTACTTTTTTCCCGGATATATATTACATATATAGATACTGTTGATGGCTTTTGTTGTGCTATAGTTCCGAAAAATGAGTCAATAATACCGTCTCCGAGAAAGAACTGCAAGTCCTTTTATCTTCCATTCGACTTCGCGGTTACGTATACATATTACTAAACAACCACTAAATTCGCAATTTTTTTTAGTCAAATCATAGAATTAGACTGACAGAAGTGACATCAGATATTTGATTACTTCAAAAGAATGATAAAGATGCCTATACAACGCAGGTGTCCCTACTGTTAAAAACTTAAAATTTCACGTCGATAATTTTCAGATTTCAAAATGATGTAATATCTTCTCAATATTGATTCGTCTTTTCTTCTGTCACAGAAAAAAATAGTGTATTATACACGGGAAAAATATTAGATTTTAGCTCACGGTTTTTTGTCACAACACAACCTGGAGCAAAAATCTACTACTTTTTTCCCTTGTATAATAAATAACTATTGTATTTGTCGTTAAGAGATAAAAGTTGGTCATCTCTTAGTGAATAGGTAATGAAATATAAAATTCTATTCAGGTGCATAAATGAATGGGAATATCAAGTTTTAACTTATTAGTGAAATCGTTAATGATTGTGAAATTACAGATTAATGAAGAAGCACTATGAGATGGTGTGACAAGTGGAGGCTAAAACCAATTCCAGAAAAATCCCAACTGATACTCTTCAATCAAAAAATATCAGATGATTCACCCACGGTAACTGTGAACAATCATGTAGTGAGAACTAAGGCATTAGTTAAATATCTGGGAGTGCACTTAGATCAAAAACTAAACTTTAACCATCATACCCAGTTAACATTTTCGAAGCCTAACTTACAATAATGAAGGAATTAGCAAAAGAACTGCAGCACATATTTACAAAACCATTTGCCGCCCAATTCTTGAGTATGCTCACCCAATATACATAAACACGAGGAAGGCGGCACTGAACAATTTGGAAGTAGCAGAAAGAGCTAGAGCTTCAGTCATCATCAAAATCCGGCACCCTCAAAATCTCCTTCACCATCTATCAAACGAACTTCTATATGTATCACCTGACCAGGGTGCAACCAATTTCTGAGAAACTGAAAAAGCTAACGTTGAAGTTTTCCAAAAACGAATCCAATCTCCAAATTATCCAATTCCAGTGTTTACAGAGAGATCCAACAGTGAACCCAAGACGGAAGTTTCCGGAAAACACACTATTGGAATGCCTAATCAATTCAGAAGACTGAAATTCCTTCAAAATTCTTGCCTCACAGTAGACTTTTCTTCTTTTTTTTACACTAGCAAATTTAATAAACCCCATAAAGTTAGCAGAGCCACTTGCTGAAAAATTGATAAAACCTATTTGGCCTATATTTGGCTTCCAAATAATTTTTTGTTTTTGTATAAATGACGATAACTCCGTTGTTATCAACACAAAACTATTACTGCGACATATCATCTGTAAGAGAAAAAAAAGTTATTTGTAACTAAGTCATAGTGAGCTATGACCTACATTTGAAAAACTAAAGTTGGTGCTGATATCTCAAATTCTAGAAGAGTTGGTATAAATTTCATATTTTTTTCGAAATCACTTTGAAAAACTGCCATGAGAATGTGAAATTCCTATTTGAATATTTTCATAAATAAAGAAGTTACGGAGGAGACATGAAAATGATCAAAATCTGTTTTTTGCGTATAAAACAAAAACCAATAGATTCTATCAAAATATTTTTCCACATTATAGTTGGCCTTGACAAACTCCACATTTGGTATCATTTAACCGACCTCGTATCTCTCACCGTTAAAAAGATACCCATGGTGAGCATGGTAAGTGGGACACACTGTATGTATATACATTTTTCTAGGATTTCCTGGTTTCTGCAGAAATTTCGCATTTTTGGCAACAGCGCATTAATTAAATGATCTCTTATGCTCTTTTCGTAACGTTAATGTCAAATATGACGTTGTTTATGAAACATTTCATTTTCCATAAGCAAAAAAAAGCTACGTCGTGGAACCTCTGTTTCTTCAGGAGAATTGTTCAATTCGTTTCTGGATGAAAAAAAAATCATCCAAAGTACTATGCTGTATCACTAAGAAATTGGTTTGGTTTGGTGGAATTAGTTTTTTTTTGCTTATGGAAAATGAAATGTTTCATAAAAATAACGTCATATTTGACATTAACGTTACGAAAAGAGCATAAGAGAGCATTTAATTAATGCGCTGTTGCCAAAAATGCGAAATTTCTGCAGAAACCAGGAAATCCTAGAAAAATGTATATACAGTGTGACCCACTTCTAATGGAACCACCCCTGTATCTTATGTAATCGTTGGGTAAGGATCCTGAGATTTGCTGGAGCGAGAGATATGCCAAAAATGCACTCTATGACCAAGTGGGGTCTACACTGCTCGCCAACAGCCATGAAACTACCCCAATTTCCGGAAAATGATATTAGGAGTCAAAATAGGTCGAAAATCACTTCAGATTTGGAATAAGGTCGCCCAATTTACTAACTATTCAAATTTTTCCTGGAAAATTTTCAGTTCGGAAAGGATATTTTGTCGCATTTTTTATGGAAGCACCCCCGTATCTCACGTAATTATTGAGGTAGGGTTCTGAAATTTGCCGGAGGAAGAGAAAATCCAAAGATAAAGTCAATTACGTGAGATGCGGGGGTGCTTCCATAAAAAATGCAACAAAATTTCATTTTTCCGAACTGAAAATTTTCCAGAAAAAATTTGAATAGCTAGTAAATTGGGCGTCCTGATTCCAAATCTGAAGTGATTTTCGACCTATTTTGACTCCTAATATCATTTTCCGGAAATTGGGGTAGTTTCATGGCTGTTGGCGAGCAGTGTATATCACTGAAGATGACCCCACTTGGTCATAGAGTGCATTTTTGGTATATCTCTCGCTCCAGCAAATTTCAGGATCCTTACCCAACGATTAAGTAAGATACAGGGGTGGTTCCATTAGAAGTGGGTCACACTGTATATGCTTTAAAAAAGATTGCATTTTTTTCACGGCAGATGCACTGCGACAATTACTCGACA